AAGCTTCTTTATTTCAGTAGGCAGGTGATGAAATCTCGTATTCTAATAATCCAAAGATAAAATTAAAATAGTAAGCTATAGAGAGCATCAACAAAACTAATTTTTAATCATTACGATCAGATGAATACAGAATTTTATAGAAGCCTTTAAGAGATTCCAAAGAAAAGCTACTCTAGATTAAGGCTATATTGGCAAAGTTGTAGGCATAATAAGATCGATCAAGAAGCATTCAATCCATCATTATTTCAATATACTGTATATATTATAAACATCCAAACCATGGTTGTTACGTATATCCCGGAAGAAGTTGAGCTCCGAGTTTAATTGAATCATTATAAGAATATATTATGAAATAATCTCTGCGTGTTTAGAAAATCAAAACAAGACATTTCTGAATGTTTCACTGTGTAAGCCATAGCTTCTTCAATATAATATATTCTCCTGAAGAAGCTGCGGTTTACACAACGAAACGTTCAGAAATATCTTGTTTTGATTTTCTAAACACGCAGAGATTACACTGAAAAATATTTTTATTATGATATATATATAAGTCTAACATATCTTCAATGGACATACACAAACACGCACGTTGAAAAGAAGCCAATAAACGATATTACACAATACGGTATGATAAATAAATAAACAAACAAACTGTCAGAGGTATCAGTACAAATAGAACGACTAAAGTGCATACACATCTCTTTTCATATACATCTACAAACTTATTATTCTATAAGCAACAGGATTATTGTTACGGATACCATCACAAACGCCACTTCAACCACTACCACCAACACTATCATTGTTTTTTCATTTTCCTTACACACAGACATGCACAGCACAACAGCTAAATACATGGATATATAAATTTTCCTATCCTTTTTTGATAACTACCTTCTAATATTGCTGTCACTACTTCTATTAACTGCTATCGATAATACTATTTCAACCATGTTACAACCATCTAGCAGAACAGAGAATTCACACGCATATATGCATATATATATATATATATATATATATATATATATATATATATATATATATATATGGAAGAAACAGTAACAGCAGATCAATAAAATGTTTCCTACCATGGCTGGAAGAAGGCCATAGAAGTGAAACGCACACACACACAAATGAGTAAAAAGTTACCGTTTATAACATCTCTCCCATTGTATCATTATGACGTAAAAGTTACTGTCGAAGTAGTAATAACAAGTGAAACCAGCAGCAATGGATTCAGAAAAAACAGGTTTTATCAACAATGATGGATTATAAAGGCAAGAGCTGAAAGACAATTTACTTTATAGTACACATACCAACTTTCAATTATGCTAAACCATTGTTGTCATCTTATTCTACAATCCATTATCGCCAACCTGTTGTATTTCTTGAACAGTCTAGTCATTGTAATCTACCCACACACTTGTTATGCATACTTAACTCTGAAGGATTTTAAGTGAAATATTAGAAATTTTTATTGTTAAATGAAATAGTGTTTAGCTGGACAGCAGTGAAAAACAGGGTGTATCAATAAACACAAAAATCTAGATGTAACATTTTCAGTGACTGAAGTGAAGTTGGCTGTTGCCTTTCATAACTGAAAGCGGCAGTTTATGGAGAGAAAAAATCACATGCTGCTCAACTCAACTATTGTCAAAATATTTTAATAATAATAATAAATACTACAATTTAACAGCCATCTTAGATGACCTAATTGAACTATTGTGATCAATAAACATACAGATTATTTACACATCTTTCTCTAGTGGCCTTCTATAACATACATATCACAAGTACAGTATATAAATAATAAGATAGTTAACAATATTCTCAAGTTTTGGAGGAAGTGAATTTCATCTCCTCATACTATTTTAGCTATATGATATCACAGTGGAAGGCTTAGTTAGACATATTTTGAGATGTTCTAGTGCAATGACCTCTTGATACCACTACCATCTGTGTCAAAGTTATTATTCAAACAGAAGAAGAAAAATAGTCATATGCAAAACTTCTGAACACTTTCTGTTTTAACAATATGGATATAAATATATGTAGAAAATGTGTGACTAGTGGAAACAGTACACAAGACATAATCCTATTGGGACAATGAAAAAGATACGGGGACTTGATGAATAATTTGAAAGTATTTGACAGGCATTTTAAGTTTCATCTGTAAAAGTGCTTTGTTTAATGAAAGGAAGTGAGTGAATTAGTTAAATGTGTTGACAATAACATTGATCTGGGAAGCTGCATCGTCTCCAAGACGGATACAAGGAAAGTACTGTCGAGTATTTGTGAACCTAAGCCACCTATGACATTGAAAAAATATTCACCTGTCCACTAAGAAGGAGAGATTTATTACTGTACAACAGTTTAGTTTATCCTATCCTAGGTGGAGAATACTAGTGAAATGAGGCAAGTCAGTTAAAAAGTTTGGCAGTATCCCCAAGGCAGGGTGGCTGAAACACGTGTTACATATGCTGCTTCACCGTCTAGTAACATACACAATGCTAGTCAGTGTTAATTAATAACTAGAAAATTGAGGTTGGTTAAAAAAAAATAGTACCCATCTATGAATTTGCAGACTGGTTATTTCAAATATTTTGAATTATCATTTGAAGACCTACTCAAAACCGATTCCAACAGCGTATCTGTATTCCATTAATATTTCCTTCACAGTGTCGATAGTTATATTACTGTACAACTATATACGCTTTTTCTTTCTTTTCGTATTCTTGATTTTCATTTTATTTTTCCCATTCTCGTTTGTGCTGTTGCAAATTACGAAGAATTGGACCGTTGCACTTCTGGCCACTGGTTTGAACCTAGCTCCACCTATCGAGGTCTAGGCAGATAGATAGTATCATTGTCCCCCATACAGTATGTGTGGCTCACTGCCTGTTACATGAACGTGAATGCAGAGTTTATTTCCATTTAATTTTAACGTGCAAGATTTGACAGTTTGCTTGACTACACTACACGCGATAATACAATTTAGGTCTATAGTCATACGCACTCACAAATTACTATCCACAGCATACCATTCAGGGCATCCATCATTCACTACAACACAGTGCTCAAGTTCCACTCTTACACAGAAATAACATGGCAGCATTTCATACCATCTTGAAACTATGTTAGGGTAACAAACAGTTTCAGAGAATTTTCTAACACTCAAGATGTATAACTAATATCAAGCACTACAAAACTTTCAATTAAAAACACACAGAAGACTGTATATGACCATTATGTTGATGAACTACTACACAGGGAAGAAAAACGCCTTAGGTCTAGGCAGAATCGAGTATCCATTCTGATTACACTTCGAATTTTCCACTAGTAAGCACTGTCAATGAGAACAACTTAGATGGAAGAGAAACATATCAATGAAGACAATCACATCGAAATTGGTAAACGGTGAGTAAAAAAAGATAAAGGGAAATAATGTTAATACAGAAAAACAACATATCATGGTACAAATAATCAGGATTTAGATGAAGATGGACATTTTTGAGCTATATTCTTAGTTTTCCAACTATCGACCTCGATTATTATTTAAACACCATAATTTCGCATAAAAAAGTAGAATGAACAAAAATTAGGAAAAATTGGTGAGAACTGAGATGTCAGTACTATCACAACCCTTTAATTACATATATACAAAACCAACTATCCACATGAACCACCTGACTGTTCAATCAAAACAAGTCCCTTACGCGTCGACACTGTGTTTACGTTCAAAAAGCATGATTACCAGAGATACATTATTTGGGGAACAATCTGGATATATTCAACCAAACAATATCAAAGTGCGACCAGGCATTACTTGCATAATGATTCAAGTTGCCACACCTCATATGGGCACCACAAATAACAAAGGAGTAAGACGACGGATGAAGAAAAAATAATCGGTCAGAAACAGCAGAAAGCAGTAAAAGAGATGAAAAGATAAAATGAGGAAATTCTGAATTCATTATTGCGGTTAATATGAAGATAAAATGTGGATAAATCTGCACCACTGATATCGATTCTGACCAATATCACCTAGAGTCTCCAACAAATGATTTCTGCTGCCACCCGTACCCCCAACCGGCTAGTCTGCATCTCTCAACATGACTCAAACCAACAGTCGGGGACTTCATGCAGTGATACCATGCTTTTGTCTGGCCACCCCAAGCCGTTTTCCAGTCTGAACATACTTCAGCCACCATTGTGCAACGCAGCAGACGGTGGCTAGGTATGGATAGCATATGTCACAGCCATCTTATTCGAATCTGGATATATTAGTGAAGTAAAAAGTAATTTGATACACAAATGTAAAGAGTTATTAGCTTTATGAATCTTAGGTAATCCATATAAATTTGGAAATTCGGATCCAGTAGGTTTCAATGAATTAAATTCCTCTTTGCTAATGGCATTCATATTCAAAAGCTTTACTAAATGAGCGGTTACTTTTGTAATGTAAACAGTGTAATGTAAAACAATTATGCTCATTACATTAGTCAACAAAGTTAACAACCGCGTTACGTGATCGGTGGTAGTCGATATTAGAAACAATAACAGGCATGTTTCACCCTACTTCCACCTCATTAGCTGGATATTAGTGAAAGAGCTAAAACTCAGCAATCATCACTTCAAAAACAAAGTGGTATTCACTAGGCTGTTGACTTACGGAGAGAAAAACCAACAAATAATCAATCCGTGCAACCAGGTGATAGAGACCCATTAATTAATATTCGAATAACGGACAGTGATTATATGCTTAAATAAACTCCCCATGTTTCAGAAGAGGTGAACATTATCATAACAAAAAGCAAGGAAGTACAACTCAGCAATTCATGTGCATGTTCGTACGGTAAGAAATGAGCCATATCTATTATGCGACGTCTAATGATACTATTTAACTGCCAAGACCTCAGCGTCATAGCCATATAATGAACCATCAAAATAATGGAGGAAGAGGGAAAGAGAGACGGAAAGGAAAGACAATAACTTACAACATGATTGTTTGTATCACGGCCAATATTTGAATAGTCAGTACGTGCTGATAACCGTTCAGAACCACTGGTAACACTGCTACTAACAGTACCACCAGTAGTTGTAGTAGTAGTAGTAGATCGTGCACTTGTTAAATCAGCGTCTGTGAACCGACGAAGAGGATTAGCATTATCTGAAAATGTTCGGTGCCCAATCGATGGAGTATGACTAATTGTTACAGGTTTACTCGTGTTGACTGAAGTCTCGCTTGGTGTTGTTCTATTTGATAATGATGAAAATAAACTATCAGTGGTAGGAGGATCAATCGATTGACTGGATACTATAACGTTATTTTTATCAACCAATTTCTTAGCTTCTTCAACATCTTCTGAGGAAACACCTTGTGTAGAACGTCTAGTCGATCGAACATATCTTGCTTTAACACTGCGCTGAGTTTCTGTTTCACCTGATTTCGTAGGTGCCATGACAACAGATATCCTGATGAGTATATAAATATAAAAATTCAGAGAACAAACAAAAATGTAGTTATTATTGTTTCATCAAGAAAAGGAAGAAAATATACTTTTATCTTTCTAAACTTTACACATTTGTATATCGATAGCAGAAAAGGACACCAACACCTTGAACAATTATATATTAGTATGAGCATGACTACCAACCGATGACACTAGATGATAGTTGTGATACATGTGATGAGACAGTTATACTGTCACAAACACTCCAGCAGTGGACGAAATAGTTAATAATAATAACAATAATAATAATAATAATAATAATAATAATAATGCAACCTAAACCGATACAGGTAATTATGCACTAAGTTACGAGTCACTCTTATTGTATAGAAGTGAATGTTACTACCAGGTTGAAGTAGTTGGAGCATGATTTCAACTCAGGTCTCATTGTTTGAAATATGAATGTTTGAAGTCAATGAGAAATATCTCCACAGAAAAAAAAAATAGTCCAACTCAGTGAATATTCGACAACTAGGTAGTAAGTTACATTTATGGTGTGAGAGTTGATGATTTTGCTTGTCTGTGTAAACCTTGATAGGTAAGATGGTGACAAACTCATGATCTATGATTAACCACAGCTTATCCCTCAAAAGTCATTCGTACCCACAAAGATAATGAACTAGCATATGTAAAATCCAACGTGGAAGCGGTGGACTTCAGATATATGGTATGTATGAATTATCAGACACTCAGTTACATTTTCTTCGGTCGTCCCAGTACTTTAACCAATAATAATGTATAATCATTAACACTCAATTTATTGAACCGCAGTTTTCCTTGTGGAATAAAAGCACAGTGAAGTCAGAAAAAGATCCAGTGCATTACCTTGCATAATTTCGAGATGACACTACAAATTTTCAGAGATTAGGGTTCCTGATTTCGGTGGTCCAATAGAAATCAGTCAGTTGATATCACTATGAGACCTGGCATTACTGCATAACTATCCAGGTTGTTACATTTTTCATTATCACATCAAGATACAAGAAGGACGCAGAATGAGAAAATGAAGAGGAAAAATGCAATCAACAGTCAGGGAAGTCATAAAAAAGAGCAGGGATAGGTAACAGACAAGAAGCAATAAGGTATGAAGAATAAGGATGAAAGTAATGTGTGGATACACTGGTATTACTGACACCGATTCTAAGCCATATCTCCTAAAGTATCCAACCACCGATTTCAATTCTCATGTAAACCCTTACCAAGAAGTCTATTATTATCTTTATTCGTACTTTTCCCTAGGGTTCCTAGCGGAACATAGGGTTTCAATACCACGTCACCATTTCACTCTCTTCTCTCCAGTCTTTTCAACCTATCTCCACCACTGCCCACAAGCTTTCATTCCTTCCTCACACCATCTCCTCCATGTCACCATCGGATCAGATGCCCAACTCATTGTTTCCCATGCTGGTTCCATTCGACGACCTGGCCTGACCTGAGGCATGATGTCTACAAACCATTTTCTCAATGTATTCCCAATCCATCTGAACCTTCTTCTGCATATCCGCTGGACGATGGGTTCTTGTTTCGTTGGTTCGTTGCCAGCTAGCCAGCCAGCCAGCCAGAGTTACTTGTTGCTTATTCTTACTATTCTCGCCATCCGATCTTCAATGTCAGTATCGAGTGAGCGTAGACGGCAGCTGTTGATGATGTACGTGTGTAGTTTGTTGGAAATGCCTTCTCTCAACCATCACAAATAAGCACTGACTTACTTGACTGACAGTATTGAAAATCCGGATGTTGTTCACGTTTTATGCTGAGTTGAGTTGAGTGGAGTTGAGTGGAGTGGAGTAGATCTGCACACTGACTGATTTCAAGTTAATGAAGGCCTGTCTTGCTGTCTTTCCAATCGTGGTATCGACATGCTCATCTGAGCCTGTGTCGCCTGTAGTTGAAACGATGCTGTCCTGCCTAGGTAGGTGAGAGAGACAACTTCGTTTAGATTTCTCCCGTTGATGATGATTGGTGCTTGTTGTTGGTTGGGTATCTTCATCACCTCTGTCTTCTCTACGTTCACCTGAAAGAAGTTCTGTCTTCCTTCGCTGCCCTGCCTCTTCTATCAACCTATTGGTTTTTGCCTGTAGGTCTTCGAGTTTGTTCGATACTAGACACAAATCATCAAACTTGTGCATTCAGAAAGATCATATTCAAACCTTAGTCTTTCTTTGGCCTTCCTAAACTAAAGGTGATTACTGTCTGCTTTATTGTCTTTTCGTTCACTATTACATTCATCGTCTTGATACTGATAAATTTTCAAAAGAAAAATCGATTTCTTTACAGCGCCTAACTCATTTTGAAAATGTTCTGCCCCTAGAGTGGCTTAATTTTACACTGTACAAATGCATATAATATTTGTAGAAGGTGGTGAGAATTCATTGAAAAGAATATTCTTCGTTCACATTGTTGCTTTTTATGAATGTTATGGTAGTAGATGTTTCAAATGATCAGAGTAATTCCTTGTACAATTCAGTCGTAAGTGACAAATGGAATGAAGTATGTGAACAATGTAATCGGTAATAAATTGACCAATTGTCTGACAACGACGACAATAACGACAGCAAGAACAAAAAAAATCAATTTGCTAAAAAAAAAGATATATGATCTAGCTTACCGTCGATTAGTTGTATATTCAGGGACAGGACTACTAGACTCCGTGTTGACACGAGAGTTATCTACTGAAACAATAGCATCTTTCACATCTTTATTGTTACTATTCATTTTCTGTGGATCACTCCTCTGAAATAAGAAAAAGTGTTGTAACACACTGAATAAGAAAGTTGCCAAATTCGGCATAAAATTAGAAGTCAGTGAGCTCACTCACTCACACACGGCTTGTACTTGGACGTTAACGACTATTCTTTCATGAGTTCTACAGTGATGCGATGTTACTTAATTATATTGAATAATAAAGCAGTAAAAGTTTGAAGTGTTGAGGAGTTAGAAACTAGACCTAAAGTAAAAATGCACAATGTTTAATAAAGTATCATCTTTCAGGGTAGGCCTTCATGCTAGAAAGCACAAGATTGATAATCTCCATTATTGAGTAATAATGACTGTATGGATTCAAACATTGCATGAGAACCTTTAAGATGAGTGATTTATAAATCTCTACCTGACTGGGAGTTGTGTGGTTTGCATGTGATTTACTAAGGGTGATAGACATTCATTATGCTCCATTCTCTATCTTAAGTATTTCAAATGAATAGTGTACGTAAGTGATACTAGGACCAACCCTAATAGTAGATGTTTCTTTACAAAATCCAATCCGTTTGGAATCGGAGTATCAAACTTATTACGTTCTGCAACCAATCAGTAGATTTGATGATCATACATATATTAAGAACCAGTATGCTAAAGTAATTTAGGTCACCTTTTAACCCAATGGCAATAAGAAAAGGAACAGGCTGTAAAAATTAAATACAGTTAAAGCGAAGGTTAGTAACAACAACAGCCAACTGTTGAAGTCACTGACAGCTGGTTTTAGTTGGACATAGAAGCTTAGTTCGCATGGATGTAGGAGAGGAGGTCATTGCAATGTCAATGGTTACAGAACCGAGATGACTCGGTACAAGTCCATCATTATTGTGCTTTTCCTTATCCATGCTCGCAAGTTTCAACTGTCATGTGGTTTTACGCATTGTACAATGGCAAATCTTGATCAATTAATATGAATAAATCTTTCCTACGGGGTACATGAATTTAAATTGATGTGATTAATTCACATCACGCTAATAATAAGACAATATCAACAATATTCATAAAAACTTACCCTAGGTTTAACAGCTATGATTTTCGTTATAGTTCTTCCTGTTCCTGGTGTTAATGTCGACGTCGTAACGGTGGAAGATGATGATTCTTTATTATCGCTTGTTTGTACAGAGGATTGTGAAGACTGTTCATCCGTAGAACGCTTACTTCTTGGAGCTGGTACAATACTAACTATACCGGTTTTAAATTTGCCTTCGGTACCAATATTATTGCTATCCAAGTGATTTGTAACACTTTGTGTTTTATCGTTTATTTGTGAAGCTTCTGTTGATGGAGCTTCAATTGTTCTACTAGGTATAGATGAGGGAGTGTTATAAGGTGGAGAGAAACGCGGAGGAGTCACATTCCTTACTGGTACTTTTCTCGTGACTGGTGGTGGAGATGAGGGAGCGATAAAAGTCACTCTTTCATCTCTTTCTGTTTTTTTCCAGTCTTTATTGGAAATATCTTGTTCCATTGTCAATTTTTTATTACCATTGGTTAACGTATCTTCCGCGACTGTATTTAATTTACTTGATTCCTCGGAAGTTTCTGTTTTATATGCAGATGTTGCACAAGTGATTACAGGAGGTTCTTCTGATGGTGTTGTTTTTGCAACTGTTTTCAACTGGGTATCATTCTTCAAAAGGAAATCATCACCATCTATGGGAACTTAAAAGAAAAAAAGAGGTGCAATTATTTTACAGTAAAAAAAGCCATATAAATGGACATCATGTATTTAATTTCTTATGTTTACATATTAAATCCGAATACAGATAGCCATAATCTACAGAATATGTAGGTTTAGGAAGATTTAACCACGAACTTTTCAAGATCAAGCTAAAAAACAAACTCACTACGCAATTAATAGCTGATATTTCAGAAGAAAAAAAGGAGTTAACTACTGATAGCCTTGTGAAACTGCACCAAAATGAACAGATGAGACAGGTCATTATGGAAGACCAGCATAAAAAGCTGACAGTAGGAGATACAAAGTGAGAGCATTGCAACATTCCGACAGTCAATGCGCGTTGGAACCTAATATCCAGTGGACGGTATATCGGAGGTCCTTAATGTCGTTCACTACATCAAACTAAACAATTATCCTCAATTAGTGAAGGAATACAAGTTGGAATCAAAATGAACTGATCACCTGGGTTCGCAAAAGATGTACATATTATCATTATTATTATCCTAAACGTAGTTTGTCTGCTTGATTTTAAGTCGCTAGGGCAAATAAGATCGTGAATAAGTGAATAATCATGCCAGGTATTAACATTGACTTGAATTTTAAATCTTAGCCAACAAGTAGTAATTAAAATGCAATTAAAACATGTATCGGTTGAAGAATTTAGTATAAAATGTCTTAAACCCCACGTGACTATTAAAGGCTATTGCAGTAGCTACTGAAGTAACCAATTAAGTTTCTTCGTTTTATGAAAATACTACCTGTCCAAACTGAAACAAATAAACTTAACTAGTTATCCCAATGATTGCTAACGCGGTCTTTAGAGTTGATCTAGATCACTCTGCTAAGATCACACCGCTCCTAAAAACATCATAACAGATAGGCATGTAGCTCATGTAGAAAAACAAGCTAGATAAAGTCAGTGATAATTTGTAGTGCTTTCCTTGAAATCTGCAGACATTTTTATTTCTATAGATAATATATCCCTTTATCCGAACCACTGCTGAAATAGCCAACTCATTTTATTTATTTTATGTATGACTACCTTTTTAGCCAAAATAAAGAAGCTTAACTGGTTATTTTACTCATTATTAGGGTGGCCTTTAAAGTCACTCAATGATCCAATACTCCCTAACCTTCACTAAACCATGCCGCTCAAATAAGCGAAGAATAATTACCTATCTGTTGTTCAATCCCATGACATTCTAAGTAAATATATAAACAGTGTAACGCTAAAAGCCATGTAATGAATTGAAATGTACCTGGTGAAATATTTTCAGGTTGAGGAGGTGGTGTTATTGACTGCAAACCAGAAGCTTCAGGTGATAAACGACTGACAACTGACTTAATAACACTGTCCCTTTCTTGTTTGGTAACACCATTCAAAGATGCATTTATACTTGGTGTGCTTTTCAACACTCCTCCAGTTGATGATAATATGGTATCACCTGAAGTAGAGGATAAACCTTGTTCAGTAGCCGGCTTTTTACTGACAGAACTTGGTTCATCAATTTCTACCATGGAATCATCGTCGGTGCTTTCACTATCCGTACTTTCTTCCAAATCGCTAGGATGACTAAAATCACAGAAAAAGAAACAATGAATAAGCGATGATGGAATACCCACAACTCATGAGGAAAAAGTGTTAGACAAATGTTAAATTTCATCCATTCATATACAATATTTGAGATTTTATCAGATAAACTTGAGAGTTGAGCTTAGACAACAGTGTGATATGCGATTCCTATGACAGCCTTTTCAAGATGGGAAGGTAACAAAAATTATATAGCTAGTAAACAAAACAATAAAATAGTAAGTAATAAAAATCAACATTAAATGTGGGGTATCGAAGGAGAATGAGACGTTGTTTCCTTTTAGATACACTGGCCCATGGTATTGATCCAGCACATGAAGATTAGTGGTCTTATAGTTTTACAATTTAAACAGATATCAGTTGGCTATACTTTCCTTGTGAAATCTGAACTCACACCGTTTACAACCTCAATGAGTTGTACCGTAATTCAGCAACATGGTTAAAGTCAATTTAGTGCATATTCAGCTGAACTCAACATATGATACTATATGACGTATGCACTTGGTCTGCGATTCTGTTTGATTGCTTAGGTTAAGGAAGGCGGAAAAAGTTCGATTATACTGTTCAGTAGTTGATAGTCAAAAGCATAGATTACTGAAACATAAATGCCCAGATAGAATGCAAAACCAAACAGTTTATGTGCTAACAAATATTAGTACCGTCTCTTTTCTTCTTCAACTGCAGTGTTTTTACGTACACAAAACTTCAACACCAACAGGTTATTAAAAAGTATACAGGCAACTAAATATGCCCATATATACCTATATCCCTTTCTCCATATATGATCAGTCAGAATGCCAGCGGCTTTGGCGTCGGAGAGTTATCCCATTATCTATCAAAGGACGAGTATACCACACTACAGTCTGTTCTGTCGTGTCATACAATTGTGAGCTTTGGCCGCTAGAAGTAGATATGAAGCGATTACAGAGTTCTGATCACAGATATCTTTGTAACATTACTAGCGTTTGATATAACCACCGTGTGAGCAGTGATGAGGTCAGGCGAAAGGCACTAGACAACATAGGCAACTCAATCGAGGAGACTGTGATGGCTTCGACATGTGTTGCACATGGCGAGTCATCGCCTTCATTGACATGCCATGCTACGGGAAGTTGCATTAGGTTCGAACAGGGTTCAGAGTGACCAGACTAAGGTGTGGCACTAGTCAAAGAAGTCTCTGACTGTTGGTCTCATCTGTGTCATGAGATGTAGACTACTTGTCTAGGGTCCCCGAGAGGAAAACGATCAGTGGCTGAGGACTCTTGGCGACATGGATGAAAATCAGTCGCAGTGGCGGAGATGTATTCTTTCTTTGATGTCTTCTAAAGCTTCAATATCTGCACTCACCTTTATCTTAGGACTGCTTGTTCTTTCATACAACTTTGTTACTTCGATATAGCTTTTATTCTACCCACATTTTCTTTGTATACTACTGTGGAGTGTGGCAACTTGAAGCGATGCACTTGGGTGCGAGGTTCTACGCTTTCTCTGTCTGTCCATCAAATGTCTACTCAAAAGGGTAAGAATCGGTAGCGTTGGTGAAGATGGATTGACTCTTTGATGCCTTCTTAAGGTCGAATATCTGCACTAACCATTAACACCAAATCGTTTATCCTCTGACTCAGCTTTGTCGCTGTTGATATTACCTTTATTCTATCCACTTGTTTTTGTACACTACTGTGAAGCTGCTCAACTTGAAGGGATGCACTTGTGTGTGAGGTTTTTTCTTGATTTTGTCTGTCTGTCCGTCTGATTGGAAGTTAGATTCCCCATGGATAAATGAAAACTTACTAAAATTTAATACATTCAGCTGATAAGTTTTAAGTAATCATACCGCACTGCTTTAGATTCTGCTAATAACTACAATCGCATAAAATTATAACTGTAATTCGTTTAACTTCTCAATCGAAGTATACAAGTGTTTAGTCACATCACAATGACTTCTTTTGAACTTCGTTAGGAATCGATGAATTTATCTGCATTCGAATGCTCTACAACAGAATTTCCTATCGAAATCCAACTGAAAATTGCCGATGAGATAGCTGCCGATTGACAGACTGATCTGAAAGCAATGGGATGATGATTGCAGCTGAGTACGAAAACCTAGCTAGCGACAGGATTCACAAACCAGTAGCCTACGAATTATCGATCCGGTTGCTTCCTAACCCGTCACAGTCAGATTTTCGCTTGTTTCAATTATCATCCAATTACATATGCATCAATCTATCAAGCCACACCTATCTCACAAACTCATATCAACAGCTTTCAGTCGAATTATTACAGTGAGTGGCAGACCATTAATGGTGAAGTAATTTAATTACTCTCATCGGATCATGCAAAAACTATTGACTTTGAATTCATCAGGACAAATACTATGATTTGGATGATATACATAGAGCGAAATATAGCTCCACGTACTTCGACCTGGAAAACTTGGTAGTATATACATAAAACTTTTACGCGTATCAAGTTCATTTCACAACCTAATAAATACTTGTATCGGGTTGAATCGCAATATTCTTCAGATGAGGAATCATTATTGGTAGTTTCGACTTTCTTCTTGACTAAAGCATATATAATCGACAATAAGGCAAGGTAGCAGATAAAAAGTATATAAACCAGTAATGGAATACAACACGAATTTATTCTATTTCACAGACAAAACAAGCGAGATAAATACACATTGAATGGCAATACTAAGAAAGAAGGTCCATACGGTACTACAATAAAAACTTAGGTGCATATACACATATATACAAAGGGAGAGAGAGAGAGAGACAGAGAAAGACTAACACACAATATCAATGACATGTGATAAAGAAACGACGAACTGTAGCAATAAATCTACGTTTATCATACTTATTACGATCTTTGCATATATTATATATATATATATATATATATATATATATATATATATATATATATATATATATATATCTTATAGCTGTACACATTGCGTACCAATGATCGATCGATAAGTACAACCTTTTACACATAAGAGCGAATAAAGTGAAAGAAAATGAAGCTGAATTGAACTGACAACACAAATCATGTTGGCATTGCATATACATCGAAAAAAGAGATGTGATAATAAAAGCGGGATGAAAGTAAATCAGAATTGCATTCAGCTGCAACCCCTGATATAATTCTCTGCCATGTTACAAGTTAAACAAAATAAGCTGGTTATCTATAGATTCTAAGAAATTTGTGTTTCTACGCCTTGAAAATTAGGTCAGATGGTGGTATTCAACAGGCACAACAAATGATGAGTTCATATTGAAGATTAGTAGCGGAAGTTGGGAGTTCATGGACAAGAAGCCCTTCTTCACCAAGATTATATGCTATTTGGTATCCGTCAGTAAGGAGTTTCTGCAACTTTGAGGAAAACTATACTCCTTCCAAGATCTAAACTCATCTTATTTCAACACTCAGCAAGAACAGACATGTTCATGAATTAGACAATGTCATGTACATAATATGAAGGTTAATGACACTACCTGACTGCCCAAACTATAGTAGACTGGGTTGGATTCAAATCCGTAACCCGCTGGTTGGAAGTCAACTATCTAGGTCAATGAGTCACAGCGTTACTCAGTGCTTAAGTCGAAGGCTTCATCACTAAGTTATTCAGGTCAGATATGATTCAGAATGATTAGATATTTGAATAAACTGATGACACCTAGAATCAGTGTTTTTTTAATGATAAAACACAGCAAGACGTGATTAGTTCAATGCTGTATTAATGGTTAGATAGTCATTAAAATTTCTAGGCTACAATTATCTGTATCCTGTTTGTTGTACAGCGTCGATACAACTTGTAATAAAAGATGTTTAGGTTGTTCTTTAAAGTTTGCAGTCTTGGCCTGTTAACCGTATGTACATATATCTATTTACTCGCTAGCCTTCTGTTGACAGTGAACTGACACATAAACAACACAACTATACTTTATTTATTAACAGTGCTAATCACTATTTCATAAAAAAAATCACCTAACTTTTAAGAATTCAATATGGTGACTGGAAAGCCGATATAGACACGCAGATTTATTTACGAATATACACATGAAGTTCAGACGATAGTGAATTACATTATCGATACTGGGTGACGATTTAAGGGGAAATGAAAACTTAGACGACCGCAGCCGGATTCAAACCAGCGACCACTGGGGTTTCGGCCCGATGCTCTACCAACTGAGCTACAGGGTCAGACTGCTGACCAGATTTTTTAAATTCACTTCAGTCACCAAGGGGTTTTGCCCGTCTACCATATGAATTCGTGACCCGTTACTATCGCTTGATCGTACTCACACTGGCTACCTGGTTAGGACTTCTCATCCCACTCCAAATCGAACTGAATTAGAGAGGTGCAGCATCATAGTGATTATCACTTAGAATATCTGAAATAGTCGTCCTTTTGGCAGTATCAATACTAGTCTGTCAAAACCACGAGTATGTCTAACAGTCAAAATGATAATTATATTATCCTCCATTCTCTCCTTGGAATGCTGTAAACTGTATTCAGCTAATAATAAGAACATCCACGTATAACATCTTACACTAACAAGATTTCATTTAAAACACGATAGCTTGTATGTAAGGGTTTGACAGAAAAACAGTTTACGATTTAGCTCACTTATCAATCCGTGTAAAGATGTGAGTGATATATTATGCGAACTAGTGACAGATTGGTTGCACGAATCATGTTGGACAGAAAGAGGTTTGAACAAAAAACTCGGTGATTGAAATTATAATAACTAATCCAATGAATAAAATACACAAATACATACAACTCTGAGTTTCAAACAGATGACCACATGAACAACCACGATCAAGAAATAAGAATTTCAAAAACGTATATAGGAAACCGGAATACAAAACTATATGAGTGAAGACTCAGTATTTTTCCCCTACATATAGCATACATCATGCTTGAAGAAAGAACAAGCATGGAGGCTAACGGTAAAAAGCCAAGACGTATA